AACCTACGGGCCCCATTTCGATATAGCAGCAGAACTGTGCTTAGTTTTAACTATTGAAGACTAAGAAAGTCCTCTAAAGTGAACATTTGTAGGTGAATTAGGGCATCATGACTGACTATTTTTCCGAAATGGGATGGCGGGAGCTGAGAGATGGTGAACAGCCAAATCATTCTCTCCATATGGCTCGACTATTTAGAGATTATGGCATGTTTGAGCTCTTGCGCTCTCAAAATGGAGACATGTTACCGCCTCCTGCTTCCAAAGTTGCCGTTGACGCTCTAGAGAGTGAAACTATATTGCAGACAGGTACAATGAACATTGAGTGATTATTTCCGTAGCCTACAGTTTTCGTTTTGATTTTATGTCAGGTCTGCAGTGTCCAGTGTGTCTCAAAGAATTCCCCAGTCACGACAACGTGAAAAAGATGCCATGCAAACACGTCTTTCATCCGGATTGTATATTGCCTTGGCTCTCAAAGGTAAATCTATCATACCAACCAGCAATGTACCTACAGTATGTCTATTTAAGTTGAAAAGGTATACAGTGTGTCTCACGGTCGGCGTCCATTAGAATATTTCGGGATTTGCATCCTGCAAAATTTGGATAATGGCATTTTCGGAGACGCTCTTTTCAGATGTAATAACAGCGACATTATGCGACTTTATACGGGAAGTTATTTCAAACCTCCCTCTTTTAAATGGAACACCCTGTATAATGTTTTTGCTTGTGTTCCTTCCTTTATTTCTAATAACTTTTATGAAAATTTTTTCTACCTACTCTATCCGTTTCTCAGCAAAATAGAGTTTTTTTCAAAATTTTATCATTTTTAGGGTGTCGCGTAAAATTGAATATCTTTTGAAAGAAGAATGAATGAAATTCAAAATCTCACTAGCAAAATTAGGTATTATTGTCCTCGATAATGAATAATTCGGAAAATAAATCTAGATATAGTCTGTACACTATAACTTTGGTGGCACGTCAACAATCGTCGGTCGAGCGTTGTTGCCATACTCGCCATAAATTACCTATATAAACATAAATACTAGAAGCATTCTTAAAATATCCCCGTGCTTTCTCGCTTTTGCTGTTGCTTGAGGTACTCTAATGCCCAAAAGTTTCGACTTATCACAAAAATTTCATGCATAATTGTTTTTTTGTTGGTAGTTACATTTCGTCACTGATGACGTGCGACCAAAGTTATCGCGTACAGACTATACACTAAAATGGACCAATTAGAATTTTTATTCTGTCAAAAAAAACTGGCAAACTTCATTATTTTGAATACGGATGATACGTTGCCGATTCGTTTGATCCTGCATAAATTTGTGGAATTTATATAAAATCAAATAAAACAAAATAAGTGATATTCTGGGAGACATTGGCAAGATTGCGAGAACCTGCCAAATTATTCACTTTTTGAASGTGTCAAAAATTGACACTTTCTGTCAGTTTTTCTTTTTTATTCAAAGAGTGCTACTACAGTCAGTTTCAATTTTCAACARTTTKAAACTTCAAWTATTYGTTTTTTTTGCGAAGCTGTCAAAATGAAAWTTTTCAAAGATTCTTGTTAGTTTTTTCTCAAAATGCATTCTKAAAGGTATTTGAAGGATTTTTGATGAAAATTCGATTTGAGTTTCATGGAATTTTGWTTTAGTACGAWTTTTTCGCATATTTCTCTTAAATACTGGCCTCAGGTTGAAATTCGAAATTCAGCAAAAGCAWCATAATATCAATGTTGGCATYGTTAACAAAATTCYAGGGCATTTGAGGTCGAAAACCCGAATATTTGAATAATATTATATTTTTTGCTGTGGAMGTTTTKCTCTTAATAACTCTCTTAATCCTGACCCCATWTGTATCATTAATACTGGGTTATAGAGAGCTTATAAAGRGCACAAGMTTCTGTAAAACCGGCTTTTTAGGCAATTCAAATCGGTTAAAAATCGGGCAAAAAATGTYCTATTTTACAATGTAGGCAAACTTGAGATGGATTTAAGTGGCAAACAAGCATTTTCAGACACAAAAATYGCACCTTCTTTGAACAAAATCAACTGCGTTGCRTGTTCCCKAAAAATTACGGTTGAGAAAACKAAACTCRGTTAAAAAACTGGAAAGTTATGAGGGTTTGAASGCCGGATATCCAATTTTTAAGCCAAAAATATTTTGAATTATTATACTTTATGGAAACTTTAGAAGCGCTAATAATGCRTTTTTGGAGAAGAAAATCGAAATATTTTATTAAAAATTGTACGCAAGTCGTGAACCTGAATATTTGAAATAAAAATATTTGCGCTTGCTTACTTAAAAATTAACATCTCCCAGACTAAAAAGCAGACAGTAGTTGCATCCTTTAGCATCTTTAGTAGACACTTGACCCTATGGACGTGGAAAGATGCAGAAAAATCCATCCGGAACCTGATTTTCGTCGGCTTTGTAAATGTGACTCTCAAAATTGATGTTGTCAATAAATTACACTCGCTTACTTAAAAATTCAAGTTTCTCAAACTCAAGAACTCAGGACGTTGAGTCTGTTACCATCGTTAGTGGACACTTGATCCGATAGACGTGGAAAGTTTCAGAACAATCCATACTCAACCTGATTTTTGTCGGTTTTGTAATTATGACACAAAATTTATGTGAAAAAGTATTTATCTGTTATATAATAGACAAAATCAAAACTGTTTTTTATACTTGCATTAAAATGATCTTATACATGTATACATGGGGAGTAGTCTTCTCAGAAACATCCTTGTATACCTTTAACTTTTAACTATTTTAAACGCCAGCTTTTAGCGCGTGGTACACGAATAAATAGCTTATCTGGCGTTTAAAAAGTTGTACTAGGACACAGTGGCACCATATAGCATTTGTAATAATGTTTTTGTGTTGCTTCCATTAACACGACAACGACAAGCCGTATTCCCGTATTGCCTTTCCATCGAACGACCAGCACTATGACGTCACGACCATTCTCGCGCGTTTAGTGTCGTTTCAAATGAATAGCCTGCGGTCACAACTTTAATTGTTTATTACAAATTAAATATTGAGATTTGAGGGCTGATATTTGGTATGCGCGATTTCTACAGGGTAATTCAAAATTGGCGTCATTCCTCTGGAGGTGTTGTCTGGCGCTGTTATAGGAGTACAGAAAAAATAGTAAAAGAAATTAATTGTTATTAAAAACTGAGAAATTTGCAAAAAACTATATCAGAAATACGGCAGCAATGTTTTTCAAGGTAATCTGCCTAATTAACATTGCGCAAATACCTGTTGCTTCGTAATTATTTAAAACTCCGGTAATCATGGAATTATACAGAGTGACAATAAGATACAAAGACAAGGATAAACCGTAAATTCAACAAGATTTGTTGACGAAATGTCAACCTGTTCTCATAACCTCTAATATTGATGCTTAGAAATAAACCATACAACACCAAACATTTGAATGGTTAACTCCAAACAAGCTAGTGCCTGTGTAATCTCCTTATTATCCACTCTTATTAAGCAGCTTCTCGTATTCAGTTAATTAACTC